TTTTTATATATTTTTATATTACTTTATGTTACTTCTCAACTAATAAAAGTTGAATTCTTCCAAGATTAATTAATAAAAGTTGAATTCTTTCATGGATAAATGAAATATCAATGATAGAATTGTTTATTAAATTCGAATTGTCAATGTATAATTTCTTTTCTAAAGGTTTTAAATAACTTAGAATATTTTTAGCTTTCGTATTTATCGATTATTTTTGAAATTTAAGCTCTCTTTGAAGCTCATGGAATATGACAATTCTCACGGAACATAACGATGCTCACGGAATATGGCAATTCGCACGGAACATAACGATGCTCACGGAATATAGCAATGCTCACGGAACACAGCGATGCTCACGAAATATGCTAATGCTCACGGAATATGGTAAGCGCTCACGGAATATGACAATACACACGGAATATGGCAATGCTCACGTAATACAGTATTACTCAGTTTTTGGGGCATACATTACAAGCAAATTCTTTACAATCTTAATATACAATACAGAATTATACTGTATTAGATGGCAAGTAGGTATAGCAACTCCATTACGGTCACATTTCCATCGTTCATTCTGCATTGTTATCATGAAATAAAATTCACAAGAGCTGTAATTAGCGCTAATGTAAGCATACGTTTACTTTTAGGCTGATATGAAAATCGTTATTAAATTTCAAAAACATTTATTAAAATTTGATAGACAAGAAGTTTTCGATGGTATTAATGCATTATTTAACTTGTATTATATGATTAAAAATTGAATAATATGCCTCAAAATAAATTCTATATCTTTCATTATTTGAATGATAAATTTAAAATTTCAAATTTATGTAATTTATTTATTTTTCTTTTTAAAAAGCCAGCTTCAAATGAGAAAAATTATAGTTAATTCATCAGTACGTGTCCCAGATATGTCATAATAATGATTTCAAGTAATCAGAAATGATCAGTTCTTTGCATGATGTTATTGGATTATCAGAATTAATCATGTTATCTTAAATCCTAAACTATCAAAACGTTGAAAATAAACTTATGCGTTTAAATTTAATATTGCGAAATTTGAATATAACTAATTGATCTTCAACCTTTGATTTGGTTGATTAACTTTTGGGGTAATTGTGATGATAAAAATTTGCTAATAATCCGAAATTTTCAATTTTTAAAAGTCGATTTAACATTTGTCTAGCATTAACATTTCTAGTAGCCAATAAGAATTTTTTTTCCTTCTTTTTTTTTGAATTTCTGAAACTCTTTCTCTTTGATTTGTTTCATTCCGATACAAATCGTAAGAAAAATCCATTCAAAAAACATTGCTCAATTTTGCATCGAATATTTTGATCAGTATTCCAATCATGTCAAACCATTTTGTCATTAGAGCTATCTTATAATATTGACAAAATTAAAATCTCAAAGGTGACAATTAGAAATTAGCTAATTAATATTTCAGGAAGGCATTAACTCCATGAGATAAATCGTTTTTTAGCTCAAAGAATTGATAAGAATTAATTTGAAAATGATCCATAATTGGCGCATTTTAACAATTTAATAAATTATTTTGTCATTAATTGTAATATAATAAAATAGGATAAAATGTTATGTAAAAAAGTCACTTAGCCGGATATCATTTAAATTTTTATTGATACTACATTATTTGAGATTAGCACTTGCTAATTATATAGCTTTATCAAGTTGAATTATGCAAAAATTTTTATAGATACCAGATTTGAATTGATAAATGAATTATAAAAATGTAGTAAGAGATTCAGAAATTACCGTAATTCGACAAATGAAAATGGAAAAAAAAATGAAAATATCAATTGTTTTTTTTTTGACAATATCATGTAATTAATATAAATTAGCAAATTAATTATCGTTTTCATCTTGTTCATAATTAACAAAAACAATAGCATAATATTAACAAAGGTTTTTTGATTAGTAAACATCAATAGAACATCCAAAGCTTAAATTAATTAAACTTTAAAATGATACTGTACGAAATATCGTGAAAAGATGAAATAGTTTATATTAGGCTGTTAAATTTTCCATTGATCAAATTTAAAACAAATCACTTCCTCTGTCATTTGCGCTTCATGCTATCCTATATATATATATGCTTATGGTACTTTATAAATTACAAGATAATTTGCATAAAATTGATTTATACGAAATTTCTTATCAAAGTTTAATTTAAAAACAATGTCAATAAACTAGAATTTAGATGATCAAAAATCAAGATTTCTCTTCTTTTTAAAGCATTCATTCTTTCATTGCTTGAATAAAATTCTCGAAAAAAAAAAGTAAACAAGTAAAGAATGAAATAAAATTAAGCATGAAAATGAAATGAAATTCGGAATAAATATAATTTCTATCAAATTTTAATTAAAAATAAAACTATAAAATGGAATTTAGACGATCAATAACTAATTCCATCATTTAACATGCGACAAACTAAGATTAGCGCATCAGATAGGATCCAATATTCAAAATTTTGCCATTTTATTGAATGAAAAACTGGCTTAATCTTAACAGCCTTAATTAATTCTTGCAATAAAATTAGCAAATTTATTATTAAAAAAGTTTTTTTCTCTTATTTACGAAAAAAAAACTTTTATTTTTTCTTATTTATTCCATACTCAGTACAATATTCCATTAAAAGTTTTGTGAAAAATTTTTCTTCCAAAAAAAAAAAAGAGAAATGACAACAAAATGTAACAAAAAAAAAAAGAAAAGAAATTTCTTTAGAAAAAGATTTTTTTTTCTTTTTAAAATAAAATTTGGATCATAATTTTATAAAATTTTTGAAATTTTCGATTACAATTTTATAAAGTTTTTGAAAACTTGTGAAGAAACAAAAAGCGAAAAAAAAATGCAAATTTCTCATTACTTCTTATTACTCTCAAGAGATGAATTTTAATGTGAAATGCTATTTTGCAAAAACTTCCATAAATTATCATACAGAAAAAAAACAAAAAAAAAAGAAAACCAATATGAATTGCTTATTGATGCATAAATGTATCAAACACATTTTAGCGCATATAATTACGCCTGGTAAAAAAAAAAATAAACTTTATGCATTTTTTTTTTAATTTTTAAATCGATTCTAATATTTGATTGAGGAAGTTTGT